GCGCAGGCCGGGGCGGGGCTGGGGCGGCGGGGGCCTCCCCGCTCAAGTTTTTAGAAGGTAAGTTACGCACCCTTGCGGCGGGCCGTGTGCCGCTTAGGAGGCTGAGGCAGGAGGGCTGCAAGTTGGAGCCCAGCTTGGGCGGCTTAAGGAGACGCTGCCCCGAAGTACAGGGCCCGGGCCGCGGGTGCAGCGCGCTGGCCCCGCTCGGGAAGCCGAGCGTCGCTCCTGGAAGGCCGCGGTGGGACCCCAGGCCTCCTTGTGTCGTTCGCTGCCCCGGCCACGGCCCGATGCCGAAGCCGAGGCGCGGGCGGGCACGGGTCCTGTCCGGGATGGGCGCCCGCCGGCCGCGCGGGCGCTGGGTCCTGCCTGGTCCGCGGCAGCTGTCGCCCTCCCCCGCAGGGTGGCCACGGACCACAACGCGGACAACACGTCGGCCGTGCTGCGCGAGTGGCTGGTGGCCGTGAAGAGCCTGTACCACTCCGTGGAGTGGCGGCCCGCGGAGGAGCCCAGGTGCGGCCAGCGCCCCGGAGCGCCGACTCCGCCCTGGCTTCGCCCGCGCCTGCCCTGCTCGGCCCTCCCCTCCCACTTCCAGCAGCTCCGCTTTGTCCCCTTCAGCCCTGGACGCCACCTCTTCGTTCTTACCTCCTCCCACCTTGCTTAGCTTTCCCATGAGCCCCGGGGTCTTGCTCTGATGCTCAGGCTGGCCTCAAATGGGTGAGCTCAAGAGAGTCTCCTGTTTCAGCCTCCCAAGTAGCGGGGAAGGCAGCTGTGAGCCTCTTTGTTCGCTCTAGGATTTACTCATGGCTTCATTTTACTTGCAGTAGGCATTGACCCCAGACCTCTGCACGGAGCTCCACCCCAGCCCGTTCTGCTTTCTGAGACAGGGTCTGCCTGGGTTGTCCAGACTGGGGTCAAACTTGTGATCCTCTTGCCTCAGCCTCCGGAGTAGCTGGGGTGACAGGCGTGTGCTGCTGTGCCCTGCTGGGACGTATTTCTTCCCCACCCGCTTCACAAGACTGGCTCTGAGCCCGGGAGGCTCGGCGTCCCCTGCCAGGCTGCGCCTGCTCCATGCTAGAGCCCCTTTGCGACCTGGGCCTTTGCACGTCCTGAGCCATCTGCTGGGGACTGTCTTGGGTCCCCCCCTGCCTCTCGGATGCGTGGGCGTCTGCGGGTCACGTGGGTCTCCCTGCAGGTCCTACCCGGACGAGGAGGGCCCCAAGCACTGGTCGGACGCCCGCTATGAGCACGTCATGAAGCTGCGGCAGGCCGCTCTGAAGGCCGCGCGGGACATGTGGGCCGACTACATCCTGGTGAGGGCCTGCCCACCCCCCGACTCCGGCCTTCGTGAGCCGCAGCCCGGCCCTTCGAACTTTGTGTTGAGACTGGGTCTCACCAAGCTGCCCAGGCTGAGCCCAAACTGGTGACCTTCCTGGCTCAGCCTCTTCCTGAGCAGCTGGGCTACAGCCTGGCAAGAGCACCAGTTCTCAGCCATCAAGGATGCGTGGGAAGCTGGGTGTGGTGGCACAGGCCTGTGGTCCTGGCCACTGGGCAGGCTGAGGCAGGAGGGTCCCGCGTCTCAGGCCGGCCCGGGCAGCTGCGTGGGGCTCTGTCCTCTGTGGGCTGTGCCTGTTTTCCCCACCATCAGCAGTTATGTGGGATCTCTGGCGCCCCATGGTGACGCCCTTGGGACACCTTCCGAGAAGCCAGGGGAGAGGTTGGGGGCTGGGATCTGACTTCCCCTTCCTCGCCCCTGGCTGGCAGTTTCGTCTGAGGGAAGGGAGCAGCTGAATCATTTTATTTCCATTTTTTTCCTTTTTTGAGACAGAGTCTCACTTGGTGGCTCAGTTGCCTGGGCTGGGCTTGACCAGGCAGCCCTCCTGCCTCAGCCTCCCCGAGCACTGGGATGGCCGTTGTGCTCAAACCCGACTTCTTTGTTCTGAAAGGATACAGTCACTGGACTGACCCCCAGTGCTGTGCGCCCCATCTTAACTCCTGGTCATTCAGCTGCCCGGGTCCCTGGTGTGCCCTGACGGCCCGGGGCCTGGATTCCACCCGCAGCAGGTGGCGGGCAGGCTGGTGTGGGGATGGCAGAGTGAGGGCCGAGGCCCTGAGGAGCCAGCTTGGCGACGGGCACAGCATCCAAGGCACAAGAGCTGGGGCAGTGAGGAGGGTGACGAGGGCGCAGGGGCTCCGCCGTGTGCTTTGTCCCGAAGGCCCGGGAGCTGTGGACGGGGCGTGAGCCAGGCCAGGCGTGATGTGCGGTTCTCAGCAGCCCCGTGGCTGCCGTGGGCAAGGGTGGAGGCTCATGCAGCAGGCTTGGCTGGAGCGGAGAGGATGGTGGGTCTGGGACCTGTGCAGCAGAGGGGTGAAATGTCAGGTGCTGGTGTCTCCTGGGGGAGGATTGAATAGGGTCCTCCTGGAGCCCTGCTACCTTATCAGAGCATTTTATGGGTGAGAAAGCAGAAACTTAAGATGAGAGAGCAGTGTCCAGGGGGCCCCCAAAACATACCCTAGGCACAGGGATGGACCAGCACCTTCTGGAATTTCTGGCTGCTTCTAGAACCTTCCAGCATCTTCTGGAATCTTCTGGACCTTTCCAGCATTTTCCAGAACCTTCTGGCACAGAGCTGGCATGTCCTGCTTCTCTGGTTTTTGTTCTTGTGGTAGGAGGTTGGCCAGCTTTCACCTTTTTCACTCAGCACACCTGGGTGGAACTCAAGATGCTGGCTGAAACTCAAAGCAGCTTTTGACACAGAATTGTATTTCTGTACTAGGGGCTTGGAAGGACCACACTGGAATGTGAAATGGTTTGTCTGCTGTTTTGGAAGTTAGTACTTAAAATCAGGATCTCCTTTCCCCCCTTTTTATAAAAGTTGTGTTATTGGCCTGAAAAAATGTATAGGAAACAATAAGGAACCTACAGCCTTGATCTTGTCTCCAGATGTGCAGCTGTGTGTGTTTTAATTGAGGTGCAGTTTTCATAACATGAAATTAACCTCTGCAGAGCGTAGTTCAGGCCTGAGTGTCCGTTACGCTGTGCCACAGTCCCCCCGTCTCGTTCTGCAGCATTGCTGCCCCCGCAAGCGATGCATTCCGCCTGCACCGCCCTCCTCCCACCCGGCAGACACCACTGCGCTTCCTGTCTCTGTGGGTTCCCTGTCCTGGACATTCGTACCAGTGTCACATGGCCTGTGGCCTCTTGTGCCTGGTGCTGTCATTTGTGTTCTTTTTCTTTTTTTTTCTTTTTGGTCATTTTGGGACACTGTCTTGCTGCATAGCTCAGGCCAGCCTTGAATTTTTGGTGGTCTTCTTGCCTCAGCCTCCCAAATGCTGGGATTATAGGCATGCGCCCCGACACCCAGCATCTTGTGATTTTCATCCACATTGTCGTGTGCATCTGTGCCTTGCTCCTTTTCGTGGCTGAGTCATATTTCACTGCGGATGGTCTCCCTTATTCACTCATCCGCTGATGGGCGTGTGGGCGTCTCCGCTGCCTGGCTGTTGGGAGTGGCGCGGCCTCTACAAGTACCTGTTTTGAGCCTGCTCTGAATTCTGCCGGGTTTGTGTCTAGGAGCGGAGCTGTTGGGTCGTGTGGTGGCTGCTTAGCTTTCCGGGGCCCGCTGGGCTGCCTGCTGTCCACTTCGCGCGAGCAGCCAGGGGTCAGCACTCACGTCCGCCGTGGCCGCGCGGGTCACGCAGTGTGGGCGCACCTCCAGTGCCCGGCAGATCTGTCCCCACACGGCTGTGGGACGTTGGTGGCAGCGGATACAACCGTGCTAAAAATACACGTGGGCAGCAGAGCGCGGATCCGTGCAGGGACGCATTAAAACAGCACCAGAGCCTCGTGCCTCCCGGGCTGTGTGGACGGAAGTGTCTCTGAGCGCAGTCCTTTTGATTTTGCATCTCTGCGTGGTGCCGTGAGCTGTCCGGGGGTGGGGCACCCTGCTGCAAACCCCGAAGTCCGGAGGGAAGTGTGTGTGTTTCTAATGTTGCGCATGAGACGGGGCTTGGGTGCGAATTCCTCTCCTGCCAGCCCTGGACCTGTGTCAGTCCTGCCTGCTCGGGAGCGTCGGGGTCTCAGGCTCTGGTGCGGGCCCTGCAGGCCTCAGGATGTGGTGTGGGGCGTCGGTGGGGACTGGCCCTGGCCCTGCCCGCCACGCTGACCGCGTGGCCTCCGCAGTTCGTGGACGCCGACAACCTCCTGGTGAACCCCGACACGCTGCGCCTGCTCATCGCCGAGAACAAGACGGTGGTGGCGCCCATGCTGGACTCGCGGGCGGCCTACTCCAACTTCTGGTGTGGGATGACGTCCCAGGTAGAGGCGGCGAGTCCGTGCGGCCCCGGGCCTGCGCTGGGGGTGCTGAGCGAGTGGGACCCGGATGGAGCCGGGGTGCCCTTCCCGAGACTCCAGGGCGTGCGCTGGACAGACGCCATCTGGCCGGACTGCAGGCCCGGGGGCTGGGGCCGGGACGCTGTCCTGTCTTCCTGCTGTCATCTGTTTCGGAGGCGCTGCGGCGGCTCCCAGGGCCTGACCCCGCAGCCTCTGCTCACCCTTACCCCTTTTTATTTTGCGGCAGTGTCTTGCTAAGTCACTTAGTTTCTCAGGCCGGATTTAAACTTGAGAGCCCCCTGCCTCGGCCTGCCGAGTGCTGGGATGGCAGGCAGGAGACACTGCACCGGGCCGCTCCCAGCTGTGGAAAGTCGTCCTTCTGCCCCTGCCTCTCGGGGTGGTCTCACCTTGGAGCCCTCCCTGAGCGCCGCTCCCCCACAGGGCTATTACAAGCGCACGCCCGCCTACATCCCCATCCGCAAGCGGGAGCGCCAGGGCTGCTTTGCCGTGCCCATGGTGCACTCCACCTTCCTGGTGGACCTGCGCAAGGCTGCGTCCCGGAACCTGGCCTTTTACCCTCCCCACCCCGACTACACGTGGTCCTTCGACGACATCATCGTCTTCGCCTTCTCCTGTAAGCAGGCAGGTGAGCAAGCGTGTTCCGGCCACAGGAGCGCGGTGCCAGCGGCTTCAGGCACGGCTGTGTCTGGCGGGCTGGACGCTGGCTCTGTGGGCCTGGACTCCCTGCCCAGCCTGAGGACCGGAGTGTTATTCCCATACTCGTCCTGTTCTAGTGCCTGCGGGAACTGTGCGGTGGGGCCACACGGAGGCCCCAGGGGTATCTGATGGGGCAGGGCCGGGCGTGGGACACGTCTGGGAGGCTGAGGCAGGAGGATCCAAAGTTCAGCCCAGATTGGCCACTCAGTGACAGGACGCTGTCTGAGTGAAAAGTGGAAGGGGCTTCCCGCCAGGGCCGGGAAGGCGCGGTGCTGTCCGTGCAGTCTGACTTCTCCTGTGGAGTGCATTGGTGCGGCAGGAAATCAACAACAACCAGTAGCAAGACGGACAACTACAACAGTGCATGTAGTGAAAAGCATGTCAGAGCTAGGAATCAGTGACTTCTGGAACTTTCCACTTCCTGTTTCCAGAGTCCTGTGACTGTGGACCCCGGCTGGGGCGGGCTGTGTGGGGGAAAGAGCCCCACACAGCTGGCGGGCAGTTTTTAAACAGCCCTGAGTAAGCAGGCAAAAGGGAGGTGGGTAGTATTTTGTGGTGTGTGAACAGTATCTGCAGTTTAAATTTTAGCTCCTAAAGCCAGTATGGTGGCACATACCTGGACTTCCTGCTCCTCAGGAGGCTGAGGCAGGAGGATCTCCAGGCCAGCTTAAGCAATTTAGCAGAACCCCAGTTCAAAAACAAAAACAGGCACAGACTGATGCAAACGTAAGGCATCCGTGAGAGGACGGACGCAGAAGTCCTATTCTGCAGTGCTCAGTTTTCTGTCCCCTGAGGTCACCTGTTTCAGGGTCATTTTGTTGCTCCAGGGTTGATTGGTTTTACTCTTTTTAAAAATTTATTATGACCACACACACACAAAAAATTATTACGGAACTGGAGGTTAAAGTCTGGGTCTGTGCCCTGAGTCACACCCTCAGCCCTTTTAAATTTTGAATAAGGTCTCACTAAATTGCTCAGAGTGGGCTTGCTCCCAGGACCCTCCTGCCTCAGCCTCCTGAGTGCCTGACTTTGGCCGAACCCCCTTGGGCCCTGGTCCCTCTCGCCCCTCCGCAGAGGTGCAGATGTACGTGTGCAACAAGGAGGTGTACGGCTTCCTGCCGGTGCCGCTGCGGGCGCACAGCTCGCTGCAGGACGAGGCCGAGAGCTTCCTGCACGTCCAGCTGGAGGTGATGGGTGAGTCCGCCCGGCGGGCCTCTCCTGGCCAGGCCGCTGCGCCTGCGGCTCCCTCTGGTGGCTTCAGGTGGAACTGCTGCGCTCTGGAGGCGCGATCCGGAGCCAGCAGTTGCCGCGCGGTGGCCGAAGCCTAACCCTAACCCCAGCCCTAATCCTAGTTTGTAAACTCTAACCTGAGCTGTAACCCCAGTCCCAACCCTGAGCCTGTCCCCGTGCTGGACACAGACATGAACAGCGGCAGGAGGCCCGGAGGGTCACCACATCCGCCCCACTGCTCTTTTTCTGAGACTGAGTCTTGCTGTGTAGGGCAGGCTGGCCATGAACTCACAGCGATCCTCCCGCCTCAGCCTCCCGAGTGCTGGGGTGACAGGCATGTGCCATAAGAAAATGACTCATGTTGCTGTTAAAAACTCAGACACTCTCAGTGAGTGTGGTGGCACATGCCTGTCACCCCAGGTCTTGGGAGGCTGAGGCGGGAAGATTGCACACTTGAGGCCAGCCTGGGGAATTTACCAATTTAGCGAGCGCGTGTCTCAGAATAAGAAATCAGGAAAGGCTGGGCAGAAATGTTTGTTTTGCCAGTTCCTACGGCCTGGCCGCTGCGCGCGCACCCTGGCCCCTGTGCTCCTCTGCTGTCCACGTGCTTCCAGACAGCAGGGCGCAGGTTCCCTCGTCCAGCCCTGGCCGGCCGGGCCACAGGCGGCCTCTTGTGCAGTGTCAGAGAGGCCTGGGAGCAGGGAGAGGGCCTTCTGGGGGGCTGGAGCCGCCAGTCCTCGAAGGCCCTGGCGGGAGAGATCTGAGAAGAAGGCAGGAGCTCAGCATGTGCAAAGGTCCTGGGCCAGCAGCTTCGCGGGCTGGCCCACAGGTGGAGGGGCGGGGAGGAGCTCATCTCTGGGGCGAGGATGGTTGTGGGGAGCTGGGAGGGCTGGGAGGGGCGGCCCAGTCAGAGCCTGGCTTCTCCGCCCACAGTGAAGCACCCACCCGTGGAGACCTCTCGGTTTATCCCTGCGCCCACCAGGACGCCGGACAAGATGGGCTTTGACGAGGTGCGCGGTGCCCCCGGGCTTGGTGGGTGCAGGGCTCTGCGGGGCGGGGCGGGAGCCGGGGCCCACCGAGCTCTGCCCAGGTCTTCATGATCAACCTGAGGCGGCGCCAGGACCGGCGGGCGCGCATGCTGCGGGCGCTGTGGGAGCAGGAGATCGAGGCCCGGCTGGTGGAGGCGGTGGACGGCAAGTGAGTCCGGCGGGCGTGCGGAGGGCCGGCCCGCTGCCCGAGCTGGACGGCCGCCCGCCCGGCTCACCGCGCCCGCGCCCGCAGGGCCATGAACAGCACTCAGGTGCAGGCGCTGGGCATCCAGATGCTGCCCGGCTACCGCGACCCCTACCACGGGCGGCCGCTCACCAAGGGCGAGCTGGGCTGCTTCCTGAGCCACTACCGCGTGTGGACGGAGGTGCGCCCGCTGGAAGCTGAGGCGGGCGGAGGGCCGGGGCGGCCCTGCACGCCGGCCCGGGTCTCAGGGGCCGGCCTTCGCCCGCGCAGATCGCCGAGCGGGGGCTGCAGAAGTCGCTGGTGTTCGAGGACGACCTGCGCTTCGAGATCTTCTTCAAGCGGCGCCTGATGAACCTCATGCAGGACGTGGAGCGCGAGCGGCTGGACTGGGACCTCATGTGAGCGGGCGCGGGGGCGGGGCCTGCGCTGGGCGGGCTCTGGGGGCGGGGCCTGCGGTGGGCGGGGCCACCGGGTGGGCGGGGCCTGCGCGGAGCCCGCCTGGGCGGGGAGGCCGAGGCACCAGGTGGGGCTGGAGACTGCTGGGCCTGGGAGGTTGTGGGCGTGGCTCTGGGCGTTGCCAGGGTGCGGGCCTGGGGGCGTGGCTTCAGGACGCGCGCAGCCTTCCCGTGGGCGGGCTCCGCCTGTCACCTCCCCTTTCTCTCCCAGCCGGTGCGGGGCTGTAGTGCAGCCGAACACCGCCCGTAGCTCCCCAGTGCCCTAGGGAAGAGCAGCCCGCCCTCCCTGTGCCCCGGAGCTCTGGCCCTCCTCCGGCCGGCCCGTGTGCTCGCCTTCCCGCGGGGCTCGGGGTGCAGGGAGCGTGACGGCCCTGGTTGCGCCCCAGCTACGTGGGCCGGAAGCGGATGCAGGTGGAGCGCCCCGAGAAGGCCGTGCCGCGCGTGCGGAACCTGGTGGAGGCCGACTACTCCTACTGGACGCTGGCCTACGCCGTGTCCCTGCGCGGCGCCCGCAAGCTGCTGGCCGCGCGGCCGCTGGCGCGGATGCTGCCGGTGGACGAGTTCCTGCCCGTCATGTTCGACAAGCACCCGGTGTAGGCGGCGGGCCGC